TTTTAGCTACACTGTTAAATAGTAAATTTAATTAAAAAAAGTTCATTAGATGTATATTTTTATCTATATTAAATTCATCATGTCAATATTTTAAAACTATGACAACTATAAGAGTGCCGTTTATCACTAAAGCAGTTGATTTAACACTGGTGATTCACTATAAACACAAACAAAAGTGCAATAAACAAGCTGATGGTTGAACAAACACAAGATGACCTGTATGAAAGCATCCGTATAGGCCCTCACCATCAAGCTCGGAAACAGAGAATATTTCTCTCCAAATTTAGCATAAAAACAATGACAATGTGAAATACATTTGATTTGTGTCCATTAGCATCTGACACAACGGTGCACATATATATGTTCAACAACGTCCTTCAATTAAATCTGAGGCATCACCTGTTGACAAAAGGAAAGAAAAGCAAATCAAATCAAATAAAAATAGAAATAAATAAAATAAAAAAAATATACAAAGGCAGGCGGGATGTCCATTGAAAGTCTGTAAGTGTGTTGAGTCCAATGTAGCCCTATTAAGATCTGATGGGTTTGAGTTCATTGATGTTCAATCGGAAGCAAATAATCAATCCTTCCACAGGAACAGAAAGGCTTTAGGACTCTGATATTGCTATGACATGCAGAGATTTGTGCTGAGTATCAGTATCTGTTGGAAAAGCAGGTCAGGTAACACGAGAACAGAAAAACACGTCAAAGATGAAGGAGAACAAACTGGCTGAATATGTGAGTTCACACGCCGGGACCGGATGATTGAGAAAACCACTTTTCATCAAACAAACAGAAACATAAGGTGCTACTTCATTACTCAAATCAATCGTGTGAAATCTTTGACGAATCTGGGCATTCTGAGCTGGGATTGGGCCAGAAATGTATTAAAAATTGATCAAATTCGTATCTGTAATAAAATGGCATGAAATCAATATACAACTGGAATGCGAATGGTTCAACTCTGCTCTGTTTTTAAATTTATGCAGAATTTACATTAAAATCAAGAGCAGAAAATGTTTATGCTCCAGTAATTATTTGGAAATTATTCAATATTATTTCTTCAATTCCTCTTCATTTTCTGGGTATTTTTTTAATCTCCTGCCAACAATTGAATCTTGAATGGGAAATTAATTAATAATTGGGCTTTTGCCACCAAAATTTTAACATAAGAGTGGCACGATTTGTAACTTGATTGTGCGAATCAACCTGTGGCAACAGTTGATATATAAGTGGCCCAAATCTGCAGAAAGAAAAAATGCAGACTTGGCTTTCTACGGTTTTTCAGCAGGGATGAACAGACCCCTCGCTCACATGCAATCTAATAATCCATTAATAATCAGATTGATGGCTCAGTCGGATTGCTCGATCCGATTACAAACAGTGGTACAGATCTATGTAATCTGTTAAACAGAAAATAATTAGCCATACATTTGATTTCAACTTTGTTCTCAATCAGATTAAAAAAAACATTGCGCACTTGCGCAGCACTGTGGTTCGTAACTTTATTAACACTTTACGAACTGATCAGTGGAGGAGACTTAATAGTTGCAAAATTTTTGCTAAAAAAGCATTTCAGACTCATTTTAAAATATGTGACCCTGGACCACAAAACCAGTCATGAGGCTCAATTTTTCAAAATTGAGATTTATACATCACCTGAAAGCTGAATAAATAAGCTTTCCATTGATGTATGGTTTGTTAGGATCGGACAATATTTGGCCGAGATACAACTATTTGAAAATCTGGAATCTGAGGGTGCAAAAAAATCTAAATATTGAGAAAATCATCTTTAAAGTTGTTCAAATGAAGTTCTTAGCAATGCATATTACTAATCAAAAATTAAGTTTTAATATATTTACGGTAGGAAATTTACAAAATATCTTCATGAAACATGATCTTTACTTAATATCCTAATGATTTAATAATCCCAATAATTTTGACCCATACAATGTATTGTTGGCTATTGCTACAAATATACCCCAGCGACTTAACACTGCTTTTGTGCTCCAGGGTCACAAATATGAACAAGGGGGAAAACGCCACTTATGCTCGCAGTTATTTTCTGGTGAACATGCACCAAAATTTAGTTCGAAACAATGTAAATGAAACAAACAAAAGTTTAGGGTACATATAAACATTACTTTAAGAATGTAAAGTTGCATTAGATCCATTCGGATTGATGAAAATCAGTGCATGTAATAACGTCTATAAAGTTTTCTGCTGTAGAACAAAAATTGTTCAAAAGTTTGGAATAATTAATTGTTTTTTTTAATGATTCAAATCTTTCTGAAATCATTCTAATATGCCGATTTCTGATTATTATCAATGTTGAAAACAATTGTGCTGCTTCATATTTTTGTGGAAAAATTAAACATTGTTTTCAGGATTCTTTGATGAAATGAAAGTTCCAAAAAAAAAACCCAGCAAATTATTTAAAAAAGAAATATAGTTTATGTAAGGGATAATGTACATCCAGCCGGTTGTTATCTCAGATCATTACACGGCTCTGTGGAATACTTGATTCTGATTGGTCAATCACGCCATCCAGCGGTATGTTATTCCCAGATAACAACCGCCAAATTGAATAACACACCGTTCATCCGGGTACTACGAGTTATCTTGACCAGTACTACTTATATGCTTAACGAGTCACTCCGCCATCTTGTGATTATGCTTCGCGTCGGGGTCCGGATCACCCTGTCTGGGTTTATTCTGAGATAACAACCGGCTGGATGTACATTATCCCACTTATTACACGGCTAAAAAGATTTGTTTTTACCATATATGTTGAAATTAATGCTGAAGTCTTCCATTGTGACATGCGGTGGTTAAGTGTTTTCAGTTAAAAGATGGCGCCAGACAGTCAACGATAGCGGAGTGACTCGTTAAGCATATAAGTAGTACCGGTCAATATAACTCGTAGTGCACGGATGAGCGGTGTGTTATTCAATTTGCCGGTTGTTATCTGGGAATAACATACCGCTGGATGGCGCGATTGACCAATCAGAATCAAGTATTCCACAGAGCCGTGTAATAAAACATAATAAAATGCAGTCAGTCACTTTTGATCAACTCGATTGAGAAAAAAATAACATAAAATCTTACATAACTCAGACTTTTACATGTTGTGCATCACAGTTACCATGAAAATATTAAACCGCAAAAGCGGTCTTCAACCCGACAGGTAGTGTGTTCAGGGCGAGTCCAGGATGAAGAACTCCGTTCATGCCTCAGTCATCATCATCATATGAGCAAATGGAAGAGATGATCAATGTGACTCGTGTTCAGAGACTCATCTACATGTTGAATCCAAACTAAAGCAAGTCTGAACTTGATGCACCACACATACAGTGAAAATCAAGCTTCTGAAACATTCTTGTGAGCCAGCAGGAATCTTCAAGGTCTGATACAGACGGAATGAACTTCAGGTCTGATGCATGCAAAGGAACAGTTCACGCAAACATGAACATTTGCTGCAAATGTTCTCACCCTCAGGCCATCCGAGATGTGGATGAGTTTGTTTTTTCATCAGAATAGATTTTTAGAACGCATTATGGATTAGTGGCAACAGTTTGAAGTTAAAAAACAGCTTGATGGATTTGTTTCTTAAAAAAAACAGACAGCTTTTCACTTCTCAAGATGTGACTGGAGTGTTGTGGATTATTGTGATGTTTTTATCAGCTGTTTGGATTCTCATTCTGACGGCACCCATTCACTGCATAGCATCCATTGGTGAGCAAGTGATGCAATGCTACATTTCTCCAAATCTGCTGAAGAAACAAACTCAGCTACGTCTTGGATAGGGCTGGGTAAAAAATATCGGTATCTCGATATTACTCGATTCATTTTTACGGAACTATATCGATTCTTAAATTCCAAGAATCGATTATTCTAGCCTGTTTTCAGTTAATGGATGTAACATTGAAGGGTACTTCCCACCCAATATATCGCAATAAGCATTGTGCTTCGGTACTTTTAATATGAAACAAAGTCTCAGATTTCAAATTCTGTCCATAGTATTGCAGTATTCAAACAATAAATGCCGTTTTGGCGCTGTTTAATGTGGAGTGACAGATCGCTGGAGTGCTTCAGAGCAACAGATGCAGTTTCAGCACAAAATAAACATGACTAAACATTCAAAGGTGTTAAAAGAAAGAGTACAATTCTACAATCCGTATCCTGTCTCATGTAATCGCACAATCAGTGTTTCAGCCGCGCAAAGACGTCAATATATAACAGCTTGTAAACAATGCGTCACGTAACGTCACATTTACCTCAGAAAAACATATTCGGTGACCATAAACTCATTAGTCAGATAGAAAAATAAACTGCAGAGAGGGGCATTTTGCTAAATACATGCACCATATAACATTCATTATAGTTTACTGTTCTTCAATGTTTATGTTTGAATAAATGCATCAAGTTTTTATTATAGCCACCATTATGTTTATATTTAAAAAAACCAAAAAACTAATTGAAGTAGAAATATTATGTAATTGTAACTTTATTATTTAAAATGTTTAACAAATGTAATTTTAACAAATCAGTCAATTTTAACCTTCAATGTTAAATAGTAATGTAGTACCAACTGACTCTCATGTATATTTTACAGCATTAGTTGGGAGATTTTTTTTCCTTGAGAAAATTTGGCATGTACTGTACCTGATATACATCCAAAATAATTGATATTGAATCGAATCAAATCGCAAGCTTGTGAATGAGAATCGAATCGTGAAATTTGTATCAAAACCCAGCCCTAATCTTGGATGACCTGAGGGAGAGTACACTTCCAGCAAATTTCCATTTTGGGCTGAACTATTCCTTTAATGCTTATAATGGATTACAAACTCTGAAAAATAAATGATTTGTTAATGAAAGTGGCATCTAATCTCCTGCACGAACATTCATCATTTAAACTTCATTTTCCACCTTTGGCTTCATTGAAATTGGCACATGAACAAACCGGCAGTGATTCTACAGGATCATAACTGTGAAGCGTGTTCAAATCTTTTTAATATGCACAGCTAACTAGAAGTAAACCATTAGTGTCAATACTGACTCTTCTGGGCTCCTTGAGTGGAAATCTGAAACAATTTTTCCCAATCAGCAAGTTCTGGGTAACGGACATTTTTAATATCAGACAGAAAATAATCATTAAAAACATCTTCGATAACAAATGACGGGCTCTGATTGGTCACACACACACACACGCGGCTGGAACCGATCCCAAATCATCCGGAAACACATGGAATGACTGGACAACAAAAACACAACCGAAAGCTTGAAAATTATAACAACATTAATAATAATAATAATAATAATATTACAAAACAAACAGACTGTTGGCCCAAGTAAAAATCTGGACATTGTCATTGACATTTTTAAAACATTCATCATAAAAACAAAGCCGAGTGGTGATGTTTTAACCCTATTAAATAACGAGAAACTGACAGATGGATGGCTTGACGTGCTCAGTGCACATTTACGAGACAAATAAAACAAGCTGCATGAGTGTTTCTGCATTAAACTTTACGGGAGTGAATCAAACAAAACTAGTGGAGTGCTAAAATCCGTGCTATTCTACCACGTCCTACGGCGATTCGCTTCAAGTATCCGTAGTACCGTCGAAACATTTCCATTCAAGTGAGAGAGTCACGCAATCGTGCTCCAAAAACTGGTGGGAAAAGGAAATCGAAAGGTTTGTGAGAACAGGAAGACTGCGCTGATGAAAGACAAGTGCACACGTGCGGGATCCTGAGTGCATGCTGTGGGAGGGGCGTCCGTGGGTCATGTGACGTGTGAAGCGGGTCATGTGACGCGTGTAAAGGGTCTGAGATCTGAACGAAGGTCTTTTCATCAGAGATATTAGCACAATTTTCAGACGAAGTCTTGATTATATTTCCATGAGATAATTCACTTTTATAATTATTACAAGAGTAGCCATAGAGATGAATGTCAAGGGGAGGTTCTTCTGTGGCAGCGGTGACACGCTAGCGTTCAAATTCAGTTTTTTGCTCTTTCTATTTTGTATTTTTTGCTCGTTGTTTTCGGCGGTTCACCACACGATGCTGCATGTGTCCGTGAGCGCTAGAGAGCGTCTGCTCGTGAGGAGTTTGTTATTTATTAGAGTCGCGTCTGAGCCTCGGGGACGTAGATCTCAATGCTTTCGGCGCTCTCGGTGGCAGAGTTCTGTCGTTCAGAAACCGCTCGCTTGGCCGCCATCAGCCGCTTTCTGGCCTCCTGACGCTGCTTGTCGGCCACCGAGTCGCTACTTTTCTCCTTCCCTCCGGAGGTTTTGACCTTTACGGTCTTCTTTGGTGTGTGAGCGGACTTCTTCTCCTCCTGAAGACATTCATTCAACAATTAAAATCTGATTGTGTTCAATATTGCACTCATTTGTAAAATAAAAAACATAAATATACATTTATAAAATAAAATCTGTAACAAATACTCAAGATGTTATTATTTTTAACGATTAAAACAAATGAATAATAAATAATCAAATATTAATAATTTAATCATTTTTAATTAAATAAAATAAAATAAAAAAAGAAAGAATTTTTAACTATTAAAATACATTATTAATATATTATATTAAGTAACAATAAAATATAAAATGAATTTATAAAATACATTAAAATTAATGTAATTATTTTTAAAATAAAATACAAAAACAATATAATGTATAAAAATCTAGTATTACATTTCTAAAATAAGAAAACATAAAAAACATCAAGTAAATATTAAATTAACATTATTTTTAAACATTAAAATGATTAGATTTATAAAAATAATATTTATTAGGGAGGCACCGAAATTTCAGCAGTCGAAAATGACATTTACGTTGTTGTTTTTCTATGTAGAATACTTGCATCTGTTTGCAACAGTGCTGTAACATGGCACTCCCGTCTCGTTCACTGATCTGCTGCCCGCTCTGCTCTGCTCACATGCTCTGATAATAATAGCTTTGAAGGACTTTACATTATTTATTATCAAAAAAATGTTAAAATCTGTTAAATCTGATTGGTTGCATTGAACTGAATAAGATAAAATATATTGATATTTAATATTAATATATTTTCTGTCCAATTTGTTGTGTGACTTTCAATAAAAGTATGGTTATTTGTTTTGGCTTGTATTTTTTTTTATTCAGTATCATTACAATTATTGAGCTAAGTTTCAAAGTCTTACAAAATTACTTTTGAATAATTATGTATTATTTTTATTAAATAATATAAAGCATTCGGTTTTCAGCCGAGTGCATCCAGAATTTTTGGTTCCGGTTTCAGCCTAGAATTTTAATTTCAGTGCATCCCTAATATTTAATCATTATTATTACCTTTTAACCTTTTAAAATACACTATGCTAGTTTATAATATTAAACACATTTATAAAATTCATACTAAGTTAAATATTAAATTATTTATAAAACAAATTACATTTTACATTTCTAAAATATAAAATATTATTTAAACCCCCCAAAAAGTATTAATATTATCATTAATATTACCTTTTAAACTTTTAAAAACATTGTTAGCTTAAAATTCAAATTACATTTTACATTTCTAAAATATAAAATATTATTTAAACCCCCAAAAAAGTAAAACACATTGTAAGCTTAAAATTCAATATTAAAAAAAAAAACTAAAATAAAAATAAAATGCATTTCTCAAAATAAATATTAATTAATATTAAGTAATTTATAAAATAATAAAATGTGCGTGTATATTAAAGTATATAAATGGTAATGATTAAATAGTAATGTATACACACACAAAACATTTATCAAATAAATATTACATTACTATTTCATCATTACCATTTATTTACTTTAATATATTGTGCTAGTGTACCATTTACTACATTAACACAAAATACATTATATACTGCCTACTATATATTTTTTTACAAGTAGTATCTGACACTTCATTTTCATCACATGACGTTATTACAGATGAACAGCTCCAATATGGAGCTTCAAAGTTTTAGATCTAAAAACTGAAGAATATCCACAAACCGTATTTTTATTCTACTTTCACACTGTCTATACAAGCAAAGCGACATGTTACAGGGGTTAAAGCAAAAAAAATCCTGAGCCTGAACTTTTTTCCGGGGACGGGGGCAGCACATGCAAAGCATGCATTTCCTATTAATTGTTTCACTTCTGTTTCAGTTTTTATAACCATCTCTTACTATGTGTCAGAAAGTTGTTGTTATTTTAGCATGTGTGTTTGGCTCAGTGTTATTTTTTTTAGGATTACTGATAAACTAATGTAGTTTGATTTGTATTAGTTATCTATTTGAGTTTTAGTTATGTTGTCATTTTATTAGTTTTTTTATTATGTCTATATAAGTTTTTTTATTAAGTTTTAGTTTTATTTAATTTGAGTCATCTGTGCACTGTCTAAACAATGAGTGACGTATACGAGCGAGAGATCCCTTCTGGCTCTTGCGTAAACTACGGCAGAGCGCGTACACACCTCACGCACCGGATGCCTGTACGCGCCTAAAGACAGTTGGACATAGTGCTGTATTAGAGGTAAAAAATTATATAAATACTGTTCAGTTTCTCACTGAGCGCGTACACACCTCACGCACCGGATGCCTGCACGCGCCTAAAGACAGTTGGACATAGTGCTGTATTAGAGGTAAAAAATGATATAAATACTGTTCAGTTTCTGGCACAAACTGATCGTTTCGTGTCTTAGGACATCAATGTGTCGTCACGAGCCGCAGGGTTTAATTTGGATTTGTCTGTGCATGTTTTTTTTACTCTCATAGATTTTGTTACCATTGCCATGCATTATACGACTGATAGACTGCAACGGTTAAAGTTAAAAATCATCATATGTGTTTTACTGAAAAAACAAAGTCACCTACATCTTGGATGCCCTGGGGGTAAGCAGATAAACATCACATTTTCATTTTGGGGTGAACTATCCCTTTAAGTACATTATGTATTATAACAAATACCTGAAGAGGGCGCCAATGACCTGGTGATGTTACACTTTACAGTGTGACTAACGATGTTTAAATCCATTTAATTTTAATATTTGGCCACATGCACACTCAGAAACTTTTATTTTGAAATCGTGATGTACAATAAATGGCATATTTATAAATAGGTTGGTGTATTCTCTTGTGTTGGCAAAGGTTTATAAATGATTTACGTAACAAATCTAGTGAGATAATAATGCACCCTGTTTTCCCAGATGAATGTTAAGCAATTCAAATTCACAGCATATGCTGAGGAAGAGTTTAGCCCCTTTCACACAATACAGACTTTACTGGTAAATTACCGTTAAGAGATCATGTGTGAACAGGCAATCATATTTTTTGTGGAGATCACATGATTACTCTGAACTATTTACAAAGCTCCGCTGCTTTTTAATTAGTTATTCTATGTAAATATGCGCTAGATGGACATCTTTGACCATTGCGCCTCGTAGCTTTTTGTCGCGCTTCTCCATTCATCAGGGCTCTGCAGTTGGATACTATTATGTGCATCTCATGTTTATAAGAGCAAAACATTCTGATTGGCTAGTAATGTTAGTTTGGTTGAGAGTGAAAGCTGTGCTCCTCTCATACCATTGGTTGGTGAACTCATGGACTCGAAAGTGATATCAATCAACAAGATTTTTTTTTAAATGTAGGATTATTTTTTAACGCAGCCAAACGCTGCATTCCGGAGATCCGGCACGGTGCCGGAGAACTTTAAGCCCTGCATGTTAGGATGCTAGAAAGGTTTGTCAGTTGGACCTTTTTGTCCTGTGTCTCAGACATCTTCCAGTCGTTGGACCTGAGGAGGTGGAGCTCGTCAAACTTCATGCTGATGTCCTCGATGGAGAGCTGCAGCAGATCCCAGAACCCGGCCAGATCCTGCGCTGTGGGCCGCGGCTGAGCGCTCGCATCCTGACCGAAAACACACATCACACATGAACTACACAGCTTCAATGCACTTTGAGTCACGGTGGATAAAAGAATCTGCCAAATGCTTAAAAACAAGACAAAAAACGTCTGGAAGAGAATCAAAGTCTGTCCACTTCAGGTCCACTGGATCTTTTTTTGTGTCAACACATTTTTAATATGATCTTGTTTCCAATTGGAAACAGCTAACAAGAATAATACAAGACAAAACAGCAGAGAATCCAGCACAATAATGCTGTGACAGAGAGCCAGCAGAGGGCGCCGATCATCAGCATTCTGCTGCCTCAACCTCATTTGAGAGAGTTTCTGATGATCCGAACACCAGCAATGTGATGAAAATATTTCACAGGAAATCATGTATGGCGGATCTAGATTTTATCCAACAGGATTTGAGTGTAACCAAGTCATTATAGGCTGGTATAGGGCTGCACAATTAATCGAACTTCTAATCGTGATTACAATTACGCATGCCACAATTTCGTAATCGTTCAAAGCAATTACAAAAAAAAAGTCCACTTCCATTATTCTGCGCGCTTAAGATGTGTGTTTTTCTTTCTATAGGTTATCTTAAGAGTTTTAGTATAATATTATTAATTCATTACATTTTCATTAATCTTAAAATATATAATTACATATTAATTTCAATTAAATGAATAAAGATGAAATAATGATAATTCTTTATTCCCAAAGTATATTAGGAATAAATGAAAAATAAATATGAAAAATATGCTTTTTTATTTTTATACTACTCATCCTGCAGCCTAAGTTGTCAGCAGAAAAATTTATAGATTAATTAATAATAATTACAAAAACATATCAAATGCATGTAAATAAACATTAAATAATAAAATATATACTTTATTAACATTTAATAATTTTAAATACACAAACATGTTAATTAATCTTTAAATATATAATTGCAAATAATAATAAAAAAAATAATTCAATGAATAAAGGTTACATTATAATAATTCCTTAATATAATATATTTACAAAACTACAAATTTAATATTAATAATAATAATAAAAAGATAAATAATTATATACTTTTTTATTTTTCTATTACTTACATATGGATTATTATAGTAATATACATATGTAATTATTATACATTATTCAGTAATTGATTGGAACTGCCTTTTGATTTTGGGGTGAAATACGCCCTGGACATGAAATCAGCCTGACTGTGTTTGAGCCTGTAAGTGAAGTGATGTTATAAAGACTCACCAGGTTCTGCTGACAGAGACCCTGAAACTGCTGGAACTTCTTAGACATTAAGAGCTGAGCACTGCCGACGGCACTGCGGACCTTCCCCAACACTACAGGACCACAAAGAGACACGTGAGACTGATATCCATACAATAAACTCAAAGAGCAGCTCATCACGGATTGACTGCGTTTGTGCAGGAGAGAGAAACACATCAGCATTCATGCGCCATCATCATCGTCATCAGAGACGCTGCCACTGATTTCCATTCTCTCCATTCATGCCGGGTCCAAGCCTAATGACTTTAATCAGCGGCTCCAGGAGCCAAAATGAGCAGACAACAGAGAGGTGTTCCTGATTAAAGCTGGTTAATGAGGCCGCTCGTTTAGAGCGAGCGCGATATCATCCCTTATTCATGGATCCGCCGGGCGTCTGAATGGACCTGAGATCGGAGTTAAAGACATGAGGACGGCCTGATAAACCTGCTGCAATTAACAGCAGCTTCCTGCACATTCTCTTCACTCCTAACGGCACTGGAAAAAATTTTTTTTTTTAAAGAATTAAGATTTACACGAGTCTGAAAACACTGGCCATGTTCACACAGCAGCAGAACACGGTTGTCAGTCCTGTTTTTGAGTCCTTAATACTGTTACGTTCACACAGAGTTCAGTTATTTACGGGCGGAACAACCGCATTCTGTAACCGAACTCACACCTGTACATTTTCAGGACTCACAACCGCATTCTCGGAAAACACAGGCGCTGTGTGAACGGAACAGGACACAGGTCATGCAGTGCGAGAGAGAGCCATACAGGTCAACCCTCCCGTTTTTCCCGGGATTCTCCTATATTTTACCATTCTATCCCACTTTCATCCCGTTTAAATATTTTCCCGTATTTTTAGTCTTTCTACAAAAAAATCCCACTGGGCGTATTTTATATGTTTGCTACATTCGCTTCCGGTTAAACGCCCATAATTTGTATGGGCCAAACCTCATTATATGAATAATCACGACAACAAATTCCAGGTCTTGTATGAAACGCATCTTTCTCACGCGATTGACGCATACAGATTTCAACCCATTTGTCCCCTCAACTTGGCAACCTACAGCCCAGTGATGCTATTGATATGTGTGCCGGTAATACTGCGGGAAGGAAACAATGATCACTGGGAGAAATGGGAGGAGAAGACTCAGGTGGTGCTCCAGTGAAAAAAAAACTAAATATACATGTAAATGTATACTTACATGTATAATGAGATATAGCTTACACTTAAAAAGGCTATTTAATTGATTAAATATGAGTGCTGCAAGTTTCAAAGTCAGGTGCTGCTGCTTTGTTTACTGTGGTTACGGGGGAAACGGCTGTATTCCTGGCGAAAAGCGCCACCTGCTGGCAGAGAATGAATTTGCATTTTGCAATAAGCCCTTCTGCTCTTTGTTTAGACCAGTGATCCTCAAATCTGGCTCGCGAGATCCACTTTCCTGCAGAGTTTAGCTCTAACCCTAATCAAACACACCTGAGCATGCTAATCAGTGTCTTCAGGATCATTAGAAAATCACAGGTAGGTTTGTTTGATTAGTGTTGGAGCTAAACTCTGCAGGAAAGTGGATCTCACGAGCCAGATTTGAGGATCACTGGTTTAGAACAAAGCCAGAAAACATGCAGTTGTAAATGTGAACTGGTGGATCGACAAGAAGATGATGAATTATAAAACTCAAAAGATATAGCCTACACTAAGATATATTTGTGTTACTAAATGAATATAACTGTTTGATAATAATTGTTTAAATTAATATAATATAATATAAAAATTGTTACTTTTGACTCCGGACATTTCAAGACTCACACCTGTAAAGAAAATGCGGTTGTCAAACCCAAAAACTGACAGTGTGAACTTAGCCATTGTTACACTGTTAATACTATTAAAACTAAAGAAGGTTAAAACAGTAAAAATTTAATTTAAGCTGAGCTTAAATTACATTTAAATAATATATATATATATATATATATATATATATATATA